TTATTTTTCTTGTGAAATCTTGGCTTACACTTGCGGGTATTAGTATTCTTAAAACAGGTGCATGTAGTTTATCATAACACCTTGGCATATCTAAATAAAGGCAACAGTAGTATACTGCTGTTCAAAGTCTAATATACCTACATGGAGTTATTTTCTTTCAGAACGATAGGTCATTTTTTTTAAAGAATCAACCCGGACGATACCAAGTTTCAATAAAATTTGCTTCAAGGCATAAAATAATGACCTGATACAGGTCATAACAATTCATTGGTGTATTGCATCATGCAGTTAAAGTAACATGTCTATTCAAACTGACAATGATATCTAACGTTTATATATCTAGTTTAATTAGTGAGCTTTATTACACATTATAAATGAGCTGTAGGGCATATTAAAACATGAACACATTTTTTATTTGACCAATCCTGACACCCCTCGGTGTGTTATACTTCAGGAAAACTTTAAAATATGCATTATCTATAACATGAATCGATTAACAGAAAATAAATCCTGGTTAGAAACTAAAACAGAGGGAAACACATCAACTTTAGAAGGAAAACAACAGAACAACATAAAAACTGAAGTGCAACACAAACAAACGCCAACATACATAGAAACGGATTACATGAATTTGATAACAACTGCCATATTTGTGACTTGGTAAAAGACATTTTATGAAAACGTGGTGGGTTGAACCTGGTTTTATGGCTAGCTAAACCTCCCTCTTATATGGAAATATTAATAAATGTCGTTAAAATGACATCACTACGTGACGGGAATACACTACAAACAAATGCGAGAACAATCAGCACAAATAAGCAAATAATATAATAGTACATTACAACATCATGAACATGTAAACCGCAAACTAACAACGAACATCATCCTTTAATGACAGCACAGAACACGACAAACAGTGACATAATTTTGTGACGTGTATATAATATTGAAATTCATACAATTCTTTGGAACGAGATCCAAAAATTCACAATTATTTTCACAATACTAGTTCAAATAATTATCATGACTATGACGGTATCGAAAGGCTGTTTTAAGTGAACCCTGTGACGACGTCATGATTATTTGGACAAACACAATACATTTTCCATGGACAACGGAAATTGACTCGACTATACTAACAAATAAAACATATGTGAAATGTACCGAAAATACAGAATTCAAACCACAAATGATAAGACATAACACAATATCAAACCGAACATCTTCTCACATTTAACATAAACATTACTTATTCTTACCTACAATTGCTGCATTCGTATATGTACAGTGTTTTTGTTGACTGTTCTCTGAAATCAGAGATATGGAAAAGCAAATTGATGAAAGTGAAACTCACGACATAATGAAACATTAAATACGCATATTAAAATGTGTGTGTGTGTGTTTTGCAATAGTTGTGCAAATATTTATTATATATGTCACACAATGATTAACACATAAAGTCCGTATAATTCATTCCATCTCTAATGAAAAGTTCTTCTACAATGCATACATGTTGCAATTCACAACTTCGTTGTTTAAAATATAATCAACTGTTAAATTTTAAACAAATTATACAGGGTCTGAAAACTTACATGAACACACGTATGACTGTATGACCCAAATTCAAAGTGGGTGGTATTTGTCTCTATCGTAGATCAGATCAAGTGTATTGAACTGAGTTACATTGAGTAGATTGTCAACAAATAACATCTTTGCAGGAAGTTGTTGATGCTCGGAATATCCTTTATTAAATTAGAAAACCAAGACGTGCTCATAATATGCTATCATATCTTTGGTGTGAGTAAACAAACACCTAAACTTAAAAAAAATCATATTGACATGAAAACCTCTCTAAAGATGTAACTATAACAAATACTAGAGTCCCTGGTTCTCCATTATAGAATAAATGATAATTGTTTTAGGGTTTTTTTTTTGTGTAAATTTTTTTGTCTTTTTTTTGTAAAATTTTATTTTTTTTTACAAGCATATATTCAAGAAAAATATAAATATCCTGAAATGTCTGAAATACTAACTCGGATGTATAAATGTTTATATTGAGGAACAATTTTAATTGTTTACGTATAGTAATCATCTTCTAACAACAGTTCTCACTCTTGGTTTACAATTTTTGCCTCATAGCTTTTATTATCTCAAAAGTTTTATACGCCTGGATTCCCAATTCTTAGCATTGGAGTATACTTGCTGTGGGTTATTCAAGTTGATGTGTTGTGCTCATATACATATTTTGCCCCTTAGTAGCACCTAAGACACACTAATTATCGAAATGCGCACTTGTTTCAGGTACATTGGTACAGTTAATGTAATTATATTATTTATTCATTAAAAAGCTATTACAATTTGAAAGGGGATGTAACATTTTGTAAAATAAAAAATTCTATTTTATTACGAAAACATAAATAATATACGAATGGGACAATCTTAATAAATCAGCCGAAAAGAAACAGATAATACCATTGGAAAAAAGAAACAGAATATACCATGACAAAAAGGAAAAAAAAAATGATACTTTAAAAAAAAAGAAACAGATGATACCATGATTAAAACAAAACAGATGAAACAATAAGAAAAAGGAACCGATAATACAACGAGAAAAAGGAACAGTTGATACCATGAGAATGAAAAAACAGGCAAACAATAGTATACAAAAATGTTATCCTAAAAAATCTGACTAGGCATCAGAAACTCCATCAATCTTTAGTTAGCTTATGGCTTTGCCCAAAGTAAGAAGTGCCTGTACTTTTATAATCCAATGAATGAAAGTCCTTGAAATATACATAAATGAATATGAATAAGTCTAAATTGAAAACAACGTTTAAACCTATGATTGCGTTGGATAAAAGCCGCAATTTTTATACGTGTGCATGCAAAACAAATTTCTTTGTAGAGGGGCCTAAATACAGCACAAACAACATTTTCCAAAAGACCAAAAAAGTGAAAAAAGTATATTTAAACAAAACGCATCTGACCAACAAGTCGAACAACAGATGTTCTTAAATTGGTACCAGTGGATTATCGGATTGATCTTATCGAGATAGTTAAATTATAAAATTTTAGAATCCGAGACTCGGCAAGGACTTTAAAATTGATCATTTCACTATTGAGATGGATAAGTCGATAATCTACTAATTACTATTTATGAATCTGTTTCAATGGTGCTCTCTCTCTCTCTCTCTCTCTCTCTCTCTCTCTCTCTTTCTCTCTCTCTCTTCTTTTTAACAAAGTAGGATGTATCTTATAAATATAAGGGAAATACCTGGTCACTTTCTTTGGAGTTTGCCTTACACATTTAACTATTTCTCTGAAAAAAAAGTAAAAAAGGCAAATATTTATCGGCACTCATATTATTCCCCGGACTACAATTACGTGTACAGCTTATCAGTTAACAGATGAATCATGTTTATTTATATGTGTGCAACGTTGTGAAGATGAGTTTTTATATTTCCATATGCTTTCAACGTAAATTGTAATCTTGTGATCACACACATTAAACTTAAAACTGTAAACAAATTTAGATAATATATTAATTCACTAAATTATTGAAATCCTGTTTTCAAAATTTTGATTAAAATTACTTTACTGTTATTTTACTAATTTCCTTAGTTCTGTTTACACATTTTACATAAGATAGTTACAAATTACATTCAAAATTATAAAAACAAATGTTTTGTACAATGTTTTCATTGGTGTTCATGTTTGTTTCTGATTTACACCGATTTCTGCGTGTATCTTTATTCCTCTGATATTAGTGTTTTGTATTTTCATTACTTTCCGTAAGTCTTTGTTCTAGATGATTAAAATACTGATCATTTGTCCATCGTTCACTTAAGAAGATCTGACAATGCAACGTCTAATTTCTGATTAAACGAGCTTCGGGGATCCTGGGATTTTTTTTAAAGATTCACACATTGAAAAATGTTGAGGGAGACATTTAATTGACTAATTTACTTATTACTTCTAGAACAGAAAGTAGAACGGAGTGTTGTCTGATCCGTCTAAGGAAAGCGTAGACCGGGGATCTGTATTTTATTCAGATTGCTGTTTTTCATGCATACGTGTAACTTCCTGTTCGTGGAATTGCCTTATTTATCCCTTGATGCAATTCTACGTGTGCCTTACGTGTTACATCTAGTTCATTTGCGTGTAACATGGAATGCATGTGTATACAATGGTAGATGCATCACGACGAGAAAAGAATTTCAAATGTATAATTTTAGCCAAAACATTTTAACTTATTACAAAAGTCATTCATTGGTAAACGAATAATCATCTCCATAGGTGAAAACAAACTATTGCCATTACAACACTTGTCTAGAGTAAATAACTTACTGGAACGAAACATCTCCAAATAGATTGAATATTTCTCGTTCTGATACATTCTTTTTGTTATATTTCGTAGTCGGCATGACCGGTAGCTGCGTTCACCTTCAACATCTAAGTCGGATTTTATAGTTTTCAATTGTGTCAGAAGTTTGCTAGCATCGACAACTTTCTGACTCTCGGTAAAGGCAGTCTGACATTTCTGGAACTTTTCTAAATAATTTTGAAACCCAGTTCTAATTGACTGAAAGACCTTAAGGTTTGCAGTTTCCTTTTCTATCAATGATGTAATGAGGTCTTGTACTTTCTTGTCAATCCACCGCTTCATCTGTTTCCCATCTTCTGTAATAACACGAATAGTCTCTTTTATGTCGCTCTTGTACATGTCTGTGCCTTGTTCAATTTTATCTAGATTTGTTTTGATGAATATAATTTTCGAGTCAATTACCTTTTTTACTTCAGTCTGTAATTCCTGTGTCGATTCGTTGATTTCAGACATATCATGCTTTTTATGTATTTTGACGCTGCAAATTTTGCATATTGGCATGTCACAATCAATGCAGTAAAATATGAAGTTTTCGTCGTGTTCTTTGCAAAACGATTTGTCTTCCAGATTGATATTTGACCCATTAAGAAAGTTATGATTTCTACTTATTTTTTACCTTAAATGTAAAGTTTTACAATTTTCACACATCCATTGATCGCATTGCTCACAATAATTACGCCCTGGTCCACTCATACAGATGTCACAGGACTTCGAAGCGGATTGTGCCATTTTGGTAGTTTTCTTTTAAGTTACCTTGACACAGGCTATGGCTAAAAATAATCGACATCGGACAAGTAAACAGGAAGTTACAGAAATTGCTATCCTAACTAGATCTTATAACCTTATTAACGCACGTGATTACAAGAATATTTATCTATGAAAATGTAAAGGTTTCAATTAAATCTGCTTTAAAATAAAAAAAAAATTGTAAGCAAGTTTGTAACGTGTTTGTTTACTTTTAAATGTGTACTATTTATAGATATTTTAAAATATCCATACCTGAGTTCTGATGCACACGGTATCTCACCTTCATTATAATTCAGTTTCAGCAGGTTAAACATTTTTATGTCCATACCTGAGTTACACTGTACACTGTATCTCCTAATAATTAATGTTCAATTCAAGATGATAAAAAATTTGCTTACTAGAAGGATAACTAAATACACTTATATCACCAATTTTACAAATTAGAGGTTATTATTGTTTCAGTTCAAATGTTTGTGTATATGCCAAGTTTAGCTTTACATATTTATGTACGTTAAAAAGTACGCATTCTAATTTTTCGATTTTCGTATATAAGTGATTTTCATTTAATGACATTTACAATGATAATTTGACTCAGTTTTATATATGATCTTTTAAATAATACTTTTTTTCTATTTGATTAGAAGTTTATGGCACAATTATAAAAAAAGGATAATAATTTTTGTTTGGGGCATATTGTTACCTAGATACCTGCAATTACCTGTGGATTGATAGCCTGCGTTATTCTTATCAGGAAATCTTATCTTACATTTCTCTTTCGTGAATAATTATATAGACAATATCTGTTTTGTGTCCTTAAATATCAGCTGTATTTGTACAAGGCTAAGAAAAATGTGTAATGCGAGCATCAGCGAGCTATTTCTCCTGTTTCGAGCCGAGTACAAATACATCTGATAGTTAAAGGGGTACTAGCTACGAGATATATAGAACATCTAAAGTATGATTTTTTTTGTTCAATCGATCATTAATGAAAGTGAAATAGTGAAGTAATAATTCGCTTTTAGCAAGCAGTATGGTTCAATTTTGTCAAATTAAGCTAAGAAACATTGATTATGAATTATTCCCTTGCAAGGGAATAATTCGACCTCATTGAATCCGTATTCATGTGAACTTCAATTTAACTCCTTAGCTAGAGATGGATAACGCATGCATTTTGCGTGTTCGGTTATTTAAAGGAAAAGAATGTCAACATTGAAAGTGAAACAAAGGCAAATCATTTGATTGACTGATTCGATCCACAAAGAAACATTCTTATACAGGTAAAAACGGTGATTAACATATATTTTTAATCTATAATATGAAATAAAACAGACCTATACAAATCCAATTGCACGATTTCGATTTCTATTCATATCTATATTTATGTTTATATTGCTTATATGGCCATCGGAGATCATCGGAGATATCGTTTATATGGCCATCGGAGATCTTTAGATGGCGTCAAGACTAAAATACACACGAAACGAAGCTACATATTATCGAGTCCATGCCCTGTAAATTGTTTATTTTAGACTTTTTATAATTTGGATGAATGTTTTACATGGTTATAAATCAAATATGAGAATTTGAATCCAATCGGTGAACATGAATTTGACAGCTAGCTAAAGAGTTATTGTTTTTTATCCTGCAATACCTTTTGCACATTGGCTTGGCGAAAGATAAATAAACTCACAAGTATTGCCTTTATCTGCGATTTAAAACTCTTTGACGCCCGTGTAGTAATAAAAAGAAATATCAAACAATCAGCTGATGACTGGTACGTGGAAAAAAAATTTCGCATGGTCAACAATAATACATCGCTCAAAGTTGGTAATTATTTATTATAACATAACAACTCATTTCAACAGAAAAAATAAATCACAAAACAGTGCCCGATTTAAGATCAAAATGTTTAATTTGTCCTACGCTTCAGAATTTCGAGCTGTCCGTGCATTCAGTGATTAGTGACAATGTTGTATAGCTGATTTTTTTGTATTACTCATTGAAACATTATAGTTTCGAACTTGAAGATTTTCGCCGTAGAAAATGAAGTTAATCCTGATGTTAATGTTTGTCTATGACATGACCTGTATGAGCAGGAAATAGATTGCAGATCGTAGACGGGCACATTTATAGACTGAGCAATACGTCATAATCATAATCATTGGAATGCGGAGATCAAAATGTCACTATCAGTGTATAAATATTTGTATAACGAAAAGCTGCTCCCACTGCCGGACTATTTTTTGTGTATTGTAGGACTGCAGTACTATTATATTCAACACAGCTATAAAAGACAGGGTCAGAATATTAAAAGCATTTTAGAATAAGTTACCTCTCGGTGTTTGTTAAGGGTTTTTTCTGTGACCTTGGGAGGAAGTCAGAGTACCCAGCGAGAACCACCAAACATTACTAAATTTGAGAACAAAAACCGGCAAAAAAGCTAAAAAAAAGTTATGTATGTGTATATCTTAATTCATCAATTTGGTGTATGATTCACACAAAAAAAGAGAATGATTTTAACGTATATCACTTTCACAATACCATTAACATGGTTTACATGATTAATATTTGTTTACTAAATGTTTGACAATATTTTCAAGAGGTTCTACTGATTTGAAAAACAAGAAATCTGTGTTGGTCAGATGAATAACTAGTTCTTACTTATCGATAGATTCTATTTTTATTATAATAAGCATGTCATGCCTTTGGTAGTGTATTCCATATAACTTATATGTTCGATGGTCAGCCAGATGTCTAAAAAAACAATTCTAGATTTTATATGCTTTGTTTCTCTAAAAAACCCATTCCAGAAATAGGATACATTTATTGGACTCTACTATGTACTACATTCTGTCTGTTTGTTTATACATGTACTTTCATAGAAGAAATATTAATGCATTATAAAAACACTCATTTACTCTAAGAAATATAATATGATATTTCTTTAAGTGTTGGAGGCCGTTCAATGACCTATAATTGCTTTATCCATGTCATGTGGACAATGTTCATTCATGGATAGTTTTATCATTTGCAATTATTCCACATATTGTTATTTTATTATAAACTAGCTCATTGTATGTTGAGCAGGATCTGATTACTCCTCCGGGATACTAGGTATCACTCCTGATGTTGGTTGATTTAATTTGTTTTGAAGGTATTTTTTTGTCTGTGAAGTGTTTCGTGGAATGATTTGCCTTTCCGTCCGTTTTTTTCATGTGCATGCCAGTTTCTCGTCGACGTATGACTTAACATTTGTTTTCGTTTTCGTTTTATAAATTCCTTTGCTATGTCATGGCCTTATATAGCTGACTTTACGGTTAAGCTTTTTCTCATTTGGAACTTAGATAAATAGATGTCTCAATCATACCACATCAACACAATGCTGCTCGACCGCTTGCATCAATTTGCTTTCAGACTTTACATTGACGTAGACAATGACTGAAACAATAACTAAAGTATATTGTTCCATTCGAAATTGCCTTTACAAATAAGCCAATAATCTCGAAAAACTAGTGAATAAGGTTTCTTTCTGCTATTTACGATTCATTACCCATAGACGTTTGAATTTAAAATGATGATCATTTAGAGGGAAATAAGAATAGTCTTTGCTTTTTATACAATATATAAAAAACAACAACATTGAAGCACATCTTAATCATAACTTCTTCCGTAATGCACTGTAACACAACTAGTACCCATATGAGTATCGACAGTCTGCTAAAATATCAATTCACCAAACCTCTTGTCGATCAAAGAGTCCTGAATTTTGATAATACCAGTTTTGGTCCAGTTGTTGTAGGAATGAGCATAGTTCTTCATAAATTCAGATGTTTCATGACATAAAACACGTAATAAGTTTAATTAGACGATGTTGCTCATCTTTCTTTTGAGCACTCAAGATTAGATATCTGCAACTTTTAAGATATTGAATAAAAAGATGTGGTGTACTTGTCAACGAAACAACTCTCCGTCAGAGACAAAACAACGTAGGTAATTGTACGGCCTTTAAGAATCAACATCTCATTGACACAGATGAATGATCAAACATTAGCACAATATGTCTGAAAGCCAAATTTTGATGTAGAATGGATGGGTCTGATTTGTAGCTTGTCCTGTCCATATAATTTTTTGTTGTTTGTACGACAAAATAATGATCAAATAACACTGAATGTATTTGTCGTTCTTATCTTGCGTATGATTTTTTTTTAAGTTTAAGTATAAACATTACACAAATATTGTGTACGACATCAACATACAATCTTCTACAATAAATAAAATCGTATACTATGTCAAGTTCTCAGTTAGTAAATCTAAAATCGTAAAAAAAAACACACACAGCACGATCAAATTATGTAAACAAATTGTGAGTTTCTTTTCAAATACGTAAAATAACAACGACACATACATTCATTGTATTTTGAACATAATTTGGTCGTCCATAAAACTATATATAATATATAAAATGTCCTGTCACTAAACTTAAGCATCAAACTATTGATTGTTTTACATTCAACATGTTCAAATAGTTCATTTAAAACCTGTAAAAAAAATATTTACATAAGCTGTTGCCACGAATATATTTCTCACTTTTTTTCTATTCTGATAGTATGATGTATATGTTGGAATTAAATGGCAAAATATAAAAACTAGCACAAGATGAAACAATTTAATAAAAAAAGGTAATCTAGAATATATATATATAATATCTGAGTATGAACGTTCAATTAAAAATCTGATTTTTACATACTATCTATATCTCTTTTGTTGTTACCAAAAATATATAAAATGATTACTTTAAACCATGGGTAATGACCTATATCAAATTGAGTGAAGTATTTTATTCAATGATTATTTCGGGTGAAAACTTTTAATCGCCCCTTCTGACATGAATTGCAGAGTTAAATTCATCACAAAACTTAAAAAATAGGTTTTTCATTTGATTATAAGCAGTCATATAGTATAATTGAAAGACCGACGTGATAAACAATTGCTAATGTATTGCTTGCAAATT